AGTTGGTGTGACAATATAATAGTGGTTTTCTTAATAGCTTGACGATTAATCAATTGATTATGATGTGTAAAACTTTCATGTGATTGGTTGTTTGTTTGAAGGCAAGGCCTTGGAGTCTCTTATACTGATTGTAATTGGTTAAGGAGTGACAAGAAATAAAGAGTGATTTAATGCTGTCTCGGGTGAAAACCAGGGAGTTGGCAGAGAATCGTTTGGAACATGAATGGAGCTTGTGTGTGTTTCTTGTGAGTCTAGCGTGGAAAACGACCGAATCCCGGTTACCTAAGTGAAAGGTTTTTTTAACATCAAAAATACCTATCACACGTGGTGGAGAACCCGGGCAGGTGTTTAATACACATTGACATCCTGTGAAGAAAAGTGAAATGGCGAAGATGTGTCTTTCTTGCGAACCGAACTAACAGCTCCATGGCAGAGACGACTCAGAAATCGTGCTTGACGACTAACGGCTTTACCAGTATGGCACCGATGAACGACGCTGAAGAGATGAAGACTTCTGAACCCCTTATGAAGGACCAGTATCGAATAGGACTGTATAATTAAGAATTGAGCGACATTAAAGACAAGATGAAGAAAAAGAACGACCCGGACTAACGCGACGACAAGAGAGATGACGCTATATAGACTTTGATTAGAACTTAGAGAACTTGCTTAGAGAACTGTTCGCTGGACACTGTAACTGACACTGTGTAACTCAAGATGTTGAACTCTTTTTCACAATCCCAACACTATTGCTTAGTAATGTAATGTATTGCTTGCTTTTTCTATCTTTTTTCTTACCGTTTTTTTTGGTGGCGTTAAATTGTATGTGTGTAAGCGCCCAGATCTTTGATTTAAAATGATATTTAGTGACGTTCGAGGTCCGTCTTTTATAACGATTTAAGCGCGCCTCAGTGGACAAGAATTTGCAACACAGTGTTTTGAGTTTTGTGAAGTTTTATGGTGTTTTAATGAGTTTATGAGTAAGGATTATGATGGGGAAAGTAATGCCCCACGTGTTTTTAAGAGTTTTGAGATTTGTCGATGTACAGAGATATCAACGTTTTAAGAGTTGTTTTTGTTTATGTGTTGTTTCCGGAATACTTCTGACACTTTTGAGTGGATAGCACCTTTGTAACGTTTTTTAATGTCTTTTTCGGATGAGAGTTTGGTGCGCCTATATACGTATTGTTTGATAACGCAAGCTTTTGTTCATGATTGACAGGTTTATGTAACTCAGTAGTTTCTATCGTTTTGCCTTCCCCGTCTTTTTTGCCAGAGGAGTAATGTGTTATGATAGCTTTGTCTTTGCATTCCGTTCCACGCCGTATGACTTTTGTTTAGATTAACGACTTGTGAGTTCAGTTGAAGTTTATAAGTGTATATGACAGGAGTTTGATTAATAGCTTTTTATTCATTGTTTATTAGTTACTGCTTTGCAATGCTTTAACCGAGAGACGCATCCCTGGTAATCACGTGATCATGCTGTCGACTGCAGCGATTGGCTGATCGCTTGGTTACGCCGCCACGCCTTAGTTTTTTTGACCTTTTGATATAGAGTTTGTAACCTTAGTAACGAGAGACAGTGCAGCGAAGGGTTACCTCAGCAAACTTTTTGAGAAAAGTAAGTCGATTGGTAGCCTTTCCCTTGTTTTTGATTTACAACCGTTGATATTTGTGACATTATAACCATTGTATTTAGACTTTATAATCATTGTACTTAATTAGTGTGTTTTACTCTTTTTGATTTATTCCTTTTCTTAGTATTGTATTTAACCCTATGACGATGAGTGGCTGACGGTATCTTTGATTTGTGAACGTGTTATTCCAGGAGGCACAATCTCAGTTTGGGTGAAGGGATGTGTCATGAATTTGTTTTCGCGTATCTGTTAATCGACTTAATTAGTTGATTATTAGCGAATTGCTGTGTTATGTCTGTCATCTTTCAGACCTATTTGAAGTTTTGGACGGAACTAATTACCAGATAACCGCCGCTATTCAGACTACTCATTCTGACAGTTGGTATCCATAGTTATTAATGTAGTGAATGATTAATCAAAAGATATGACGTGTTCAGTACTTAGTGTGATTGGCTTTATGATTGAAGGTTACTCCCTAGAGTCTTTTTACTGCTTTTACTGTTTTGAAAATGAATAAAGAGAGTTTGAGTTGGTCTTGACGAGTACACCACGAGAGACGCAGTCTAGAGCAGTCCTGGAGAGCCTTGGGGCGAGTGTTGATGCAGTCTAAAAGAGTCTTGGGTCAGCCTTGCGATAGTCTTGGGGATTTTTCCCCAGGGCGCCGTGTCTTATAGAGTGCTCGATTGACCGACTAAGACGAGAGTTGAAACGTATTTCGTTGTGTGCGTCTTATTTGACGGTAAAGTATAAGTGACTTTCCCGATCCCATACCTCAAGGGGACGAGATATAGAGACGAGACGAGATTCCCCCCTGACACGTGTGGAGAACCCAGAGATAAGAGAATTTCCCCCTGATACTACTATGTACTGTTTTGCTCCTGCGGTTTGCAACAATAATAACTCGGAAGTTAGAAGTCGGAATTCGGAAGTTAGAAGTCGGAACTCGGAAGTTAGAAGTCGGAACTCGGAAGTTGGAACTGTGAAGTAGGAAGGCCCCTCTCGGCTTTCGTAGATTCTGTTCTACACATTTTGAATTTCGGCATTCCTATGATGTATTTCCTTAGAAGGAAAAAAATGTATAATAATAAGGTTATTAAGAGGATAGCTCAAAGTATGCACTCAGACAGTACGCCGTTGCATCGATACTCCCGCTGTCTTTGTGCATACGTTGAGGTATCCTCGTAATAACCTTATATTATAATAAGAGGTTATTCCCACATCATGGGAATGCCGAAATCCAAAACGTTTAGAGCAGATTTATTTGTTTGAGGACCATTAAAACTTTGCACTTGGGCTGCCATGTTTGTTTTTATTATTAGAGGATGCTTACCCGCGTGATCGTTCCATATTTGGAGTTCGAGTTTTCTAATATGGTAGGATGCAAATATGCATGGGATACCACAAAATTATGGCACGCTGTAACATATGGCGTTACGATAACAGTGTGAGTATAATATAGTGTTTATTTACTTACATTTTCAACTTTACTCATGCCAACTGTGATACATGACAATTATAAAGTGCTGCTAAGAGTGATATAAAATCTGTGATATATTAGAAATAAATAAATATAGTTAAAAAAGACATTAACATGGGAAAATATATATATCTGAAAAATTAACAAATGAAAAACAATAAAACTGTCCATACATTTTTATTCTATATCACTA